TTTCTTAAAAGTAACACCTGTCATTTGGTTTTTACCTCCTTGTTGAAAGTGACATAGGACATTTAGTATAGGACATTTAGACATTGTTTGTTTAGAATTTTTGGCATTCTCTGAGAATCTGGACTACCGCTTAGGGTGGCAATATCACATTGAAATTAAAGATTTAAGGGGCACGGGTGCCTGGTGGCTCAGTCAGTTGGTCGTCCGACTTCCCTCAGGTCATGATCTCACAGTCCAGAGTTCGAGCCCCTTGTCAGGCTCTGTGCTGACAGCCCGGAGCCTGGAGCCTGCTTCATCTCTGTGTCTCCCTCTCTCTGACCTCCCCATTCATGCTCTGTTTTCTCTCTCTGTCTCAAAAATAAACAAACATTAAAAAAAATAAATTAAAAAAAATAAAGATTTATAAGCATCATAAACCCTGTATTTTTTTGTTTTGATTTTGCATAAATGAATTCTAAAGAGTTGAAATAAACCATAGAAAGTATAATATAAATAAATTATTGCGGAGTATACATTTGGGTAAACTATTGAATATTAAACTCTTGAAACTACTTTATAAAAAACACTATGTAGTATTGAAGTGTGGTATAATGTGTTTATTTCCCTTGGTGTTAGTAAAGTCAGGTAAAAGTTTTGAGAGATACTAGGTATTTTTTTTTTCTGAAAATATTTAGCAAGTATTTGTTTAATGATTGCATTCAAAAAAATCTTTTGAAAGAAATTGAAGAATTTGAAGCCTTTGAGCTATGTGAGGAAGGTTTTCTGCATATGGTAACTGGGTATTTTCAAGCTATAACATTAAATTGTTTCAACTTTAAAGTTGTCTTTTAACTTCAGAGAATAATAATGGAAACCTCACTGTTCAGTTTTTCTGTGGTAAGTGTGTGCAGCATAGTTCTAAAAGAATCAGCACTTACTAAATTATAGTTGAATCAATGTTATTTGACACTATAGTGTTCTAACAGAAGGTAAGTTCTTAAAAAATCAACTGAATAAGATTTTTCATACACACTCAAGTGATGGTAGCCTAGTATTGAAAAATTTTAAATGTTCAAGTGTGTCCAAATAATGGGAATTGAGAGAAGACAGATTATAATAAGTAGTCTAAGAGATGGCAAATCATATTTCTCTGATGAACTGAAGGATGGAATGCCAACCATCCACATAGATAACCATATTGGTATGAAATCTCTTCTGTTGGGGACTATGTTGAACTGAATTATTTGGAAGATGATTTGCTTGATGTCTCAAATGTACCTCAATCTCAGTATATCCAAATTAGCACTGTGATGGTCCATCCTCAAACCTGTTCTTCTCACAGTGTTTCTGGCTCATTAAATGGCACCTCTGGGGCACCGTGGCTGGAGTCAGTTGGGCATCCCACAACTTTATTCAGGTCATGATTCTCTTTGTGAGTTCGGTATGAGCCCCGTGTGTCAGGTTCTGTGTGATGGCTCAGGCTGAGCCTGTTTTGATTTTGGTGTCTCTCTTTCTGCCCCTTCCTCAGCATTTCTCTTCTCTCTTCTAATATAAAAAATAACATTAAAAAAAAATTTTTTTTTTTAAATGGCACTCCACTCACCCCTCGATCCAAATGATAACCTAGACATTAGTCTTGATACTTGCCTCTTCAGAGCTCTTACCTGTTTTGGCACTGTCACTAGTAAAAATGTTAGCCACATGCATAAATGTTCTAGTAGTTACATTAAAAAGATAACAGGTGAAATTAATTTTAATATATTTGATTTAATTTATATATCCAGAGTCTTATTTCCTGTATTTTAAAATCAATGGAGATATTTTATATTCCTTTTTTATTTTTTTAATTTTTTTTTTTTAATGTTTGTTTATTTTGAGACAGAGACAGAGCGTGAACAGGTGGTAGGGGCAGAGAGAGAGAGGAGACAAAGAACTTGAAACAGGCTCAGGCTCTGAGCTGTCAGCACAGAGCCTGACATGAGCTAGAACCCACGAACTGTGAGATCATGACCTGAGCGAGGCAGTCGGATGCTTAACCGACTGAGCCAGCCAGGTGCCCCTTATATTCCTTTTTTAAATATTACATCTTCAAAGTCCAGTATGTTTTCGCACCTAAAATAAGTACATTAAATCATACCAGTCACATCACATGTGACTGGTGGCTACATATTGGACAGTGAAGATACAGTCTGTCACCAAGTCCTTGAGTTTTACCTCTCCTAAGTATTTCAATTCCTTCTCCCCTGTCTCAACTGCCATCACCCTGAATAAAGATTACTGGTAACTTCTAGCCTTTGTCCCATCAGGTCACACTGTGGCCAAAAATGATCTCTGCCAAATCTCCTTTACTTCCACCCCTTATCATTTACTCTTCCTCTAAATCTCATCATTTCCTTTGGTAAGCTCTTCTGATCCTCCTCCTAGGTCACCTGTTACCTACTGTTTTTTTTGTTTTTAAGTTTGTTCATTTATTTTGAGAGACAGAGACAGTGCTAGCAGAGGAGGGAGGAGAGGAGAGAGGAGAGGAGTATCCCAAGCAGGCTCTGCACTGTTAGCACAGAGCCTGATGCAGAGCTCAAACTCACAAACCTCGAGATCACGACCTGAGCCTAAACTAAGAGTTAGACATTTAACCAACTGAGCCAGACAGGCACCTTGTATGTACTCTTATAGCACTATGTATACCTTCTGTTGTAGCACCTAGTTTACTTCTCATTTGTGAGTCTAGCACTTGTAAGTTCCAAGAGCCAAAACCACGATTTTTCCCCCTCTAACAAGAGTGCCAGGCATAATTACTCAACCAGAATCTGTTAAATTAACTAAATGAACTTAACTGCCCTCCTTTAAAATGCAGTAGTCCCCAATATAACAGTGTATTGTTCAACCCTTAAACACTGTACTGGGGGGCGCCTGGCTGGCTCAGTCGGTTAAGCATCTGACTTCGGCTCAGGTCATGATCTCACAGTTCGTGGGTTTGAGCCCCATGTTGGGCTCTGTTCTGACAGCTCATAGCCTGGAGCCTGCTTTGGATTCTGTGTCTCCTTGTGTTTCTGTCCTTCCGCTGCTTATACTCTCTGTCTGTCTCAAAAATAAATGTTTAAAAAAACAATTTTTTGTTCTGGAATTTTTTCCTCTTTTTTTTTTTTTTTGTCTTACATATGGGTAAGAAATGTTCTCTTCATTGTTCAGAAGACTTTAATGAGTTCCCTTTACCTACTGAAATAAATTTCAAATTTATAATCTTTCATTTGAGGCCTTGTATAATCTAATCCTGAAAGTGTCTATCACAATGTCAAATGAAACTGCCAAGTTGTATTCCCCCTAGTCTCTAAATACGCATTACCCTTAGGAGCCATCTTTCTATTCATTCAATAAGTGTCTTTAGTATATTGCCAGATAATGATCAAAGCCAGTACTATACAGTAGAACTTTGTATTCTACTGTATATCTTTTTTGTTCTGTGTGTATTCTGTTCTCTGTATACCCACCGGCCACTTATACCTGTTAAGCCCTTGAAAGTTCGCTGTTGAGCACTTGAAATGTGAATAATGTTGAGGAACTGAATTTTTTATTTTGGTTAAACTTTACTAGCCACACATATAGCTAATGGCTGCCATATTGTATAGTGGAGATCAAGGGAATGGGGCATGCATTATCTGCCCTCGTGGAGTTCATGCCCTATCATGTGGCGATATAGTCAGTAAATAAATTGTATCAGATGGTGATACATTTTGCAGGAAAATAAAATTGGGTAAACAGAGGAGATGTATATGTTTGGGAGGAGCAGAAAATGTTATTTATAGAAGATAGGAAAGATGTTAATTATAAGCTGATGTTTGAGCAGAGACCTGAAAAAAGTGAGAGTGAGTGCAAGCCATATGGGTGTATTTAGAAGTGTTCCAGAAATAGAGGACAGCATGTACAAAGGACCTGAGGAAGAAGTGTGCTTGCCCTATTCTAGAAATAACAAGGAGACCAGTGTACCTAGATTGAAGCTACAGGGTAGAGCAGCCAAGGACCAGACCAGAAAGGACTTTATTGGCTGTTGGGGACACTTAAGCTTTTGCTTGTGAGACAAGACACCATTGGAGGATTTTCAGCAGGGGAATTTCATGACCTTAGTCTTTAAATGGATCACTCTGGTTATCATATTGAGAATAGATGTATACTTACATACCAGAAATGTCCTTTTGAACAAGACAGATGGCTATTAAAATGTTTTGTCTTTCAAATCTTAATTCACAAGTCACCTCTTTTACTTGCTTTTCCTAAGCCTAATCATATAGAAGTAATTATTCTTTTTTGTTAGTGTATCACAGTTCTATATGTTGATTTTTTTCAGTAAACTATAAATTCTCCAGTGGCAGTGATGGTAGCTAGTATGCCCACAATGCTTGTAAATATTTATTGGTTGAGTGAATAATTACCTGTAATTACAACTAAAATCATAGAAACACTTTCTTGAATTTTAACATGAAATAATATTTTGATGAAAATATTGCTCTATATTTGCCTTAGAATTATATCTAAATACAGTAATAAAAAAATAGCAGTGATAGTGTTCAAAGTATTGTCTATATTCATTTAATCCTCACACAACTCTGTGAGTAGGTATTATTATCATCATTATCTTCCAGATGGGAAACGGAGACAAATAATGGTTAGGTAATTTCTACAAGATTATAGAGCCTGGATTTAGATTCATTCAACCTGGCCTTAGTGAACTCAGTTAATTTTTTTAGTAGGTCATAACCAGTAGAATTTGAAAAATAATTTTGGGGGCCAACATAGCATCCCCAGGTATTAGCATTTATTCTGAAAATTCTAACCTTTATTCTGACCACTGTTCCATTACTTATGAAACAAAAATATGCAAAATTCTGATGTTCATTAATGTATTTTTAGAATATACATGATTATGTTAATCCATTTAATTCATTTTTTCATAAGGAGAAGCAGAATAATGGCATATTAATGTAAACCTACACTGAAAATAAACTTTGTGTTTTTCTCCCGTTTAGGGCCTGTATATCTTTGGGATCGAGAACTCGAGCCATTGGAAATGCAGCTAAGAGCCAGGTAAATTGTTAATGTAGATGTTTTGACTTCCAGGAAGAATTAATGGAATCTTGGTAATTAAGCTTCCACTTTATGTAGTTAAGAGTGAAAAAAGAGGAAGGGAAATTGGACAGACCTTGATGTCTTTGTATTTTAATAGATATATTTTGCTTTGGGGGTTGCAAAATATTTCTTAAATTTTATTAAAAAGAAACAAAAGTCTTTTTAGAATTGTGAAGTTAGGATGTTGCTATCCCATGACACCACTTTTTCCCTGTATGGTCACTTTTCTATGAGGTGGTATCCTATCTAGTATATACACTTCAATAAGTAAGTGATGTCTTACTGCAAAAGGAAGGTAGGAAAGATGGAAGAACTAATTTCCAGAGTAACCCAGTGTAGCTACTTTACATGGAATCAGTTTAAGTATTCATATTTCTAGGCTTCTGAAGTGTTTGTAAGTGGAACATTTACTTTTAATATTCCTTATAACAGGTTCATTTTCCTTGGACTTTATTTCCCTAAACCAAAAGCCCTTAACAATTACTTCTTACATTTTAATGTGTACCTAGGTTTTTTCCTCATAAAATAACTTTAATGGGACTTTTTTCCCTCATGACTTTGTAGGAGTAATTAACTCCTTTATCTAGGAATTTCTGCTTAAGATTTTGTCAAGGTTGTCTTCTAATTGGCCTATATATGAAACTGTTTATCTTCTCTTCCACTTTCATACTGTATGTAAACAAATGTTGAGCTTGTTTCAAAATGACTTCTTCACTAAAGTTTACATTTCATATTCTGTTTGATCTTCTAAGTTGTATGATTGATATCAGAGTCTCTGAAGAAAGCAAACTGAAGTTATTCCTGTAAAGAGACCAATGTGGTAATTGAGCATCCCTGTAGCATTTATCTCGTAATTGAAGAGCAAGATCTATTTGGCTTTAACTAAGAGGTCAACAACTGGATCTCAGTAATATTCTATAGTTTGCACTACATGTTCTAGTTAAGAAAAAATTACTTTCCTAAAATATAAGCCATTTACAAATTAAGACACTTTAATTTAGCATCATGCTCCATAAAAGAAGTTTAAATTTACTAGCCTTGGAGCAGTTCTCAACAATGAGAAATTTCACAGAGAAGAAAAGAAAAATGGTGCAATAAGGAACACAGTTTCAATAAAAACACAGTAATGAAAGTGGAAGGAAATAAAAAGTACTAATTCACTTAAAGCAAAAGTGTTGAGGGAAACCATAGAGATGAGTTGTAGATTGATTTTCACTGTATTATTTGAAAACCTTTACACTTTTGTTCTTTCTTTTTTGAAAACATTAATTTTGAGTCTACATTTCTAGGATAGGATAATTTGAGGGGCAATAGTTAAGATGCATACATTCTTTAAAAATTTTATTTTATTTTTGAGAGAGAGAGCATGAGCGGGGAAGAGGGGCAGAGGGAGAGACAGTCTTAAGGAGCCCAATGCAGGGCTCAATTGCAGAACCCTGGGATTGTGACCTGAGCCAAAATCAAGAGAATCCTATGCTCAACCACCTGGGCCATCCAGGCACCCCTAAGGTGCATACATTCTTACTGTATAATTTTACTAGTAGCTGGAAGGCAGATAAATGAATGATTGTGTGTAATTCTAAACTTAAATGTGTAGAATTGGTGGTTTAAAAGTATAGCATAGTGTTCATTTTGCATTCATTAAGTAATTGATAAAGAAAAGTGTTTACTGTCAACAGATAGTCACAAATGTAAGAAATACAATTCATGGCTTCAAAAAGCTTCATGGGCGATCATTTGATGATCCCATTGTGCAAACTGAAAGGATCAGGCTTCCTTATGAGCTGCAGAAGATGCCTAATGGAAGTGCAGGAGTTAAGGTAAGCTTTATATTCCCAGAGTACAAACATTTAAATTTTTTTTTTTTTTCAACATTTATTTATTTTTGGGACAGAGACAGAGCATGAACGGGGGAGGGGCAGAGAGAGAGGGAGACACAGAATCGGAAACAGGCTCCAGGCTCTGAGCCATCAGCCCAGAGCCTGACGCGGGGCTCGAACTCCCGGACCGCGAGATCGTGACCTGGCTGAAGTCGGACGCTTAACCGACTGCGCCACCCAGGCGCCCCCAAACATTTAAATTCAAGAAAACAAATACAATATTTCCTATTTGTAATTTAACTTTTTTTGTCTGGACACAGTACACACGTACCAAGGTATAGACAGTTTTTGTTGTAATCTTTAGTGAGTGCAAAAAAATTCTAATTAGATAACCTTTTAAATCCAAACAGTACTTTTATTGTCAAGAAAAAATGATCATTATTTGGAGAACTTTTAGAAGTGAACTGTTTTCAATTTCAAGCGATAAAGGCAGAGGCATAAGTGATTTAGAAAAATAGACCCCAAAGCTATATTAATTGCTATATTAAAGCAAACTTCTTCAAAGTGAGAGATGGATTCTTGGTTTTTAATTCTACATCCCGAGACAGTAAGTTATAGATTGGTTAACAAAACATGTTTCTGTTGATTTTTCAAAAACTAACAAAATACCTCAAAACACATAGAGTTACCATGTGACCCAGCATTTTCACTTAGTTGTATACACCAGAGAATTGAATGATATGTGCACACAAAAACTTGTACATGATTATTCACAATAGCATTATTCGTAATAGCCAAAAAGTGGGAACAACCCAGGTGTTCATCAGCTGTTGAGTGGATAAAGAAAATGTACCTATATAATGGAATATTATTTAGCCATAAGATGGAGTGAAGTACTGACACATAATTCATACAGATGAATATGGCACAAAATATAACACTTACACATAGATTGTGCTACTTGAGAGAGAAGCTCTTTGTAACTCTTCGAGTTTAGTGTTGTTTTTAAGTTTTTTTTTTTAACGTTTATTTTTGAGACAGAGACAGAGCATGAACAGGGGAGGGTCAGAGAGAGGGAGACACAGAATCTGAAGCAGGCTCCAGGCTCTGAGCTGTCAGCACAGAGCCCGACGCGGGGCTAGAACTCACGGACTGCGAGATTATGACCTGAGCCGAAGTCAGCCGCTTAACCGACTGAGCCACCCAGGCGCCCCTGGAGTTTAGTGTTAATAGAGTAAAATTTTGTTCACTGAGGAAACAAGTTACAGGACAGTTTTTTCCTCTGTAACTGTAGTTATTATATGGGTTCCAAGGTAGCTTTTTATTGCTTATAAATTTATTATTATTTTTAAAGGGTTTGATTACTTAAAGCCGTACGTCTTCCAGTATTCCTTTGTTAAGCACTGTAAAGTTTCCTTTCGTGTGCTTATATGCAACCTACTCTTAAACCTATGTATAAGATGAAGTAGTTATTTGGTCTAAAAAAATAGTAAAAATTTCATATATATATCTCTAATATTTAATTTTATTTTCTAATATTTAATTTATTTACTCCCAGAAACTTTGGAATAATACATACTTTATCTTTTATTTTTAAGTTTAATTATTTCTTTTGAGAGAGAGAGAGAAAAAAAAAATCCCAAGCAGGCTCCACACTGTCAGTGCAGAGTCAAAGAATGGGGCTCAAACTCACAAACTGTGAGATCATGATGACCTGAGCCGAAATTGAGTCAGTTGCTCAACCGACTGAGCCACCCAGGCATCCCTCTTTTATTTTATTTTTTTTAAGAAGAAATTTTCTTTTTCCTTCCTTTCCCTAAAATTGTAAAACGAAAGCTTTCATTTTAAGCCCAGGAAGAGTTCTGACTTTCAAAAGAAAGATTATTTGATCTTTTTCTTATTCATTATGTGCTTGGAAAGTGAATAAAAATTGCTTTTGTGAGATGTGGGGATCTAACACAGGAAGACATTTTTGAAAACAATTTGTTTAATATAATCTGTATAAGGCACTTGAACTTTAGAAATAAGAGGTTGTAATATTAGAATAATCTTTTCAGAATATAACTTCCATGGGCAAAGACTACCTTTTTTCACTTTTGTTTATCCATCATGTATAGAGTAGATGTACATGTTGGATGAATAAATGACTTAATAAATATCTCAACTTGTGGTTTTAGGTGCGGTACCTAGAAGAAGAGAGACCTTTTGCAATTGAGCAAGTTACTGGAATGCTGTTGGCCAAACTTAAAGAGACTTCAGAAAATGCTTTGAAGAAACCAGTGGCTGACTGTGTGATTTCAGTAAGTTTTACTTCAATAATGAATACTTTTAAATCACACTTTCCAATATATTAATTTTATGTTGAAATATTTTTCTTCCCTTTTCTTTACTCTTAGTAAATAATGTATTCTTTTTTTTTTAATTTTTTTTTTTTTTACGTTTATTTTTGAGAGGCAGAGAGACAGAGTATGAATGGGGGAGGGGAAGAGAGAGAGGGAGACACAGAATCCAAAGCAGGCTCCAGGCTCTGAGCTGTCAGGCCATAGCCCGACGTGGGGCTTGAACCCACACACTGTGAGATCATGACCTGAGCGCAAGTTGGACACTCAACCGACTGAGCCACCCAGGCGTACCGTAAATAATCTAAATCCATTTTTATTTTTACATTTTAAAAAGCCCACCTTATTTGATAAAGTTTAGGATTGAGTTTCCCCTAAAGTCCATTGTGATAATCAGCGAATCTTAAAAAAAACCTATGTATGTGATTAGTGACTGCTATACCTGTCCCACTTATCCCTAAGAATCTTTCCTGGTCGCCATTAACTTCTCACCTGTAGGGACCTTAACATTTTATGGCAAAGTTGAAAATTTCCAGCTAGGTATTTGAGATAATATATGTTCTGTATCAGAAAGAAAAATTCTTTTTTAAAAAAATTGGATATATTTAACATGTTATACTTTCAGAAATTTTGACATGCTTACACAAAACCATCATCAATCACTATCAGTATAATAAATATTTATCACTCCCCAGAATTCCCTTGTGCCTTCCTTAAAAGAACAATTGTTTACAGATAAGGCGTGCAACATGATGCTTTGACACACATACACATAGTGAAATGATAATGGTTACTGCAGTTGAGCTAATTAACATACCCATCTCGTGTAGTTTTGTTTTGTTTTGTATTTGGTTTTTTGGTGGCAAGAACACCTGAGATGTACTTTATTAACAGATTTCCAATATACAATAACAGTATTACTAACTTTAGACACCATGGGCTGTACATTAGATTTCTAGAATATATTCATTCTTTATAACTGAAACTTTGTACTCTTTGGCCAGTATCTCCCCATTTCCTCCACCTCCTAGGTCATAACCACCACTCTACTCTCTGCTTCTGTGAATTCAACTTTTGTAGATTCCACATGTAAGTGAGATCATGTATATTTTTCAGAAAGAAAAGGTCTTTTTTAAGGGATTTCTTCAAACATTTCATCATTTACTCTACCCTTGAGATCCTATTATATATTGATAACTTTTTTAAGTTACTTGTCATCACCTAAATGTGAATGTATTCTTAATACTATTAACTTTCACTATAAAAGTTCAAGAGTCTCATGTTACCAGAAAAAAAGAACCAGATTATGAACTCTTCAGTGAATTTAGTAATTAGATTTTTTATAGGGATTTAGAACTTTTTTGAGAGAAAAATAATGGAGCTTAGTATTTCATTTTCCAGCCACTTAGTAATAGCAAATAATAGTTTACCATTGGCCAGGCACTGTTACAGGCACTTGATGTGTATTAACTCATTTAATCCTCAGAACTACTCTGTGAGGGTAGCATTTTTTTTTTAAATTTTTTTTAATGTTTGTTTATTTTGACAGAGACAGTGTGTGAGCAGGGGAGGGGCAGAGAGAGAGGGAGACACAGAATCTGAAGCAGGCTCCAGGCTCTGAGCTTTCAGTGCAAAGCCCTATGTGGGGCTCGGACTCATGAATATCATGAGATTATGACCTGAGCCAAAGTTGAACACTTAACCAACTGAGCCACCCAAGCACCCACAGGATAGGATATTTTTAACTCTAGTTGTACAGGTGAAGAAACTGAGACACAGAGATGTTAACTTGCCCCAAATCAACAGAGCTGATAAGTGGTAGAGCCAGAAATCAAACCCAGATAGTTCATTCCCAAGCCTCTGCTTATAATTTTTCCATTACACTACCACTTGAAAGTATGCATCAAAGTGGTATCAGTTTTAAAAATCCATCTTAAATTCAAGTCCATCCCTATTAACTATACTTGATAACATTTTCACATCAGAAATTAGCGTCAGAAGAGAACATTATGAACTTCTCAGCCATTGTTTACTTTGTAGTTGATGCAGTAGACCCATTGTGAACTGCACCAGGGGAAGTATTTTCTGCTTTATGCACTACTATATCCCTAAGTGGCTAGAAAAGTACCTAGTACGTAAGTGCTCCATGAGTATTAAATGAAGCCTGTGTTATAATTTAGATTTTTGTCAGAAGGATAATACCAAAATTAGGATAAACAAGTTTATTGAAATTTAAGTTCTTTTCCTGTTGTTAATAGGAGTTAAATGAAATTTCTAACTTCATAAAGCAATAAAATTGGAGGAGACAATTTACTTAAAATTGGAAGAGCCCCAAGTCATTTTGTACATGAATATACTTAATTAGCTTCTTAGAAATCTGTCTGTAGACACAAATCAAAGAGCTTCTTAGTTTGATAGAACTAGGTAAATCTTTTTAATGTTTACTTATTTTGAGACACAGAATAAGAGACACAGAGCAAGGCACAGAGCAAGCACGGGAGGGGCAGCAAGAGAAGGAGAAAGAAAGTTCCAAGCAGGCTCTGAGGTGTCAGTGCAGAGCTTGAACGAAGGAACCATGAGATCATAAGCCAAAATCAAGAGTCAGATGCTTAACCGACTGAGCCACCCAGGAACCCCTAGAACTATGTAAATCTTAACTATAAATTTGAGTTTCAGTTTATGTTTTAATAGTAATATAGTTAATGTTTTTTGTTGATTTTAAAAGAAACGTGGGGCGCCTGGGTGGCGCAGTCGGTTAAGCGTCCGACTTCAGCCAGGTCACGATCTCGCGGTCCGTGAGTTCGAGCCCCGTGTCGGGCTCTGGGCTGATGGCTCAGAGCCTGGAGCCTGTTTCCGATTCTGTGTCTCCCTCTCTCTCTGCCCCTCCCCTGTTCATGCTCTGTCTCTCTCTGTCCCAAAAATAAATAAACGTTGAAAAAAAAAAATTTAAAAGAAACGTATGTTCCTTGTAAATCTCCTGCAGTATAGTTCCCCCCTCCTTTTGAGATCATAGCCATTGTAAACCTTTGGGTATTGTATTTTTCTGAGTAGCCTATACCTACACAAAAATCATGCTACACATGTCCTTTTTTCTAATGTAGTATAGGTACTGTTCCATGACAATTCATATCTGCCTGATTCTAACAGCCATGTAGGATTCCATTATATGGATTTACCATGATGTAGTTAATCAATCTCGTTTTAATAGTCTTGGGTTTTCAGCCTTTCATTGTTAAAGATGAACCAACATATTTTTTTTCATAGAGCCAACCAACACAAGAAGGATTTATTGAACATATTTGGAAACACTGCATTATTCCATCTTATTAATTGCTTTAAATTTGTGTTCATACTTTAGGTCAACACTTGATAGTATAGAAATTGCCAAACTTTAAAAAAAAGAAAGAAAACTAGTATTTTTTTCTTGTTTATTTAAACTAGTATTTTTTTCTTATTAGAACACCATTCTTTGCCTTAAGCTGTAAATTTTATTACATTTATTTTACATTTTTAATTGATGAAATGTTTAAAATCTGTTACATCAAACTAATATATTAGTGTTTTAAAATACCAGATTCCTAGCTTTTTCACTGATGCTGAGAGAAGATCTGTGATGGCTGCAGCCCAGGTTGCAGGTTTAAATTGTTTAAGGTTGATGAATGAAACTACAGCAGGTGAGCACTTTGGAATTTAAAATCACTGTCAGAAAAATACCGTTCTAGTTTTTTCTAATTAATATAAAACATTTCTCTTTCTTTTAACTCTATTATGTCCTAGTTCCTGTAACCTTTTGTTTAGGAGTACAGTATTTTGGCAGAAGTTAAACATGTCTTCTGTTCGCAATAAGAATCATCTATGTTACAGAGTTATGGGTAGAAAAGAAATAAAAATCAAGTGATGAAAAGTTAATTTACCTTGAAATTAATATTTATATTCTTCTGTGTGTTAAAGTGCAACATCAAAGTGACTTATATCTTGTTTTCACGTGATTGCTATCTTGACATTAACCTAATTTCTTTGTTCTTACACAGTGGCACTAGCATATGGAATTTATAAACAGGATCTTCCCCCATTAGATGAGAAACCAAGAAATGTAATATTTATTGATATGGGACATTCTGCCTACCAGGTCTCGGTTTGTGCTTTTAACAAAGGAAAACTTAAAGTAAGTAAATAAATGATTTGCTATGTATTAAGTTTAATGGTTAAGAGCATGTAAGACTATATAGAGAACCTTAGTGCGTGAGTTTAAATCCTGGCTCTGCCACTTAAAAATTGTGACCTTGAGCAAGTTACTAACCTCCTTGAATCTCAGCCTCTACACTTAAGGGGATAGTACCAGGAATTTCCTCAGAATTTTTGAGGACAAATGAGTTAATATATATAAAATGCTTAGAATGCCATAGAGTAGATCCTGTAATATGTATTGGCTATTTTTATTGTCAAGGTGTTAAGCAGCTATCAGGGAGCATTAAGTACACCCTATCCATAAATACATTTAGGAAACACTTTCTAAAATGATTCTCTTTGTTTTTGTAAACCTTCCTATCCAAGAGTTTTAATCATAAGTTTCTGTAGTGTGCCATTGTTTAGTTCTAGTGCTTACCATTTTATAGTTTGTATTTATTTATTTTTTAGATGTTTAATTTTTGAGAGAGTGTGCATGCACACGAGTGGGGAAGGGGGGGGGGAGAGAGAGAGAGAGAGAGAGAGAGAGAGAGAGAGAGAGAGAGAGAGAGGATCCTAAGCGGGCTCTGCACTAACAGCAGAGAGCCGTATGCGGGCTTGAACTCACAAACTGTGAGATCATAACCTGAGCCGAAGTCAGATGCTTAACCAACTGAGCTACCCAGACACCCCTCTATTTGATTTTATATTCATTTTTATGTTGATTATCTTATCCATACTTACGTTCTCGTTCTCTCTCTCTCTCCATTTATTCACATGTATAGAATTTACTTAGAAGATGAACTGCTTTGGGTTATCCAACACCTTTTTAGAGCCTTTTGTCTCATAGTTTATAGTAACATCCTTGTAAAAACTTGAGAAAACTCAAGGGAAATGACTCATAATGAATTAGTAAATTAGTTTAATCTTTGGTATTTAGTCTTGAATTTTAACTGAAGAACATTTGCTTTCCGTTTTGGTATATACCATAGAGTAGCCATATTGTGGCCCTTCTGTCCAGGAGGATGCACATTGGCACAAGTCACATACCAACACAGTTTTGGATTTAATTCGGGGTAGTTCTGGACCTAGCGAGAAGTCTTTCCATGGATTCTCCATGCTAGTCTGTGGGATGACCTCTCAATGAGATTATACTTAAAATCTTCTGTAGGGTTTACTGTTGTTCTACCACATATTCTTGTGAGAAAAACCTGATGAACCACATCAGCAGTGGAGTTCTATTTTTTTTAGTGGTGACTAGCATAAGTAGTCATTTTTGCCCTCTATCCTCAGGAGAGCCACTAGATGTCTTGCTCCTGTGTTTTCAGTAGTTATAACGTTGAAGTTCTGTGACTTGTCTGCTCCTCTTCCATCCATCTGCTATATTATTATATCAAATTCTTGTCTTTTCTCTTTTTTTCTATTTTATTTTTTTGGTCTTTCATGTATTTTTTTGTTCCTTCTATATTTTTATTTAAAAAATTGGTTTTTGGGGCGCCTGGGTGGCGCAGTCGGTTAAGCGTCCGACTTCAGCCAGGTCACGATCTCGCGGTCCGTGAGTTCGAGCCCCGCGTCAGGCTCTGGGCTGATGGCTCAGAGCCTGGAGCCTGTTTCCAATTCTGTGTCTCCCTCTCTCTCTGCCCCTCCCCCATTCATGCTCTGTCTCTCTCTGTCCCAAAAATAAATAAACGTTGAAAAAAAAAAAAATTAAAAAATTGGTTTTTGTTTTTGTTTTTTTTAATAGTAGGCAGAAAGCCTAATTCCTGACCTGTAAATTGACCAATTGTAGTATTTTAGATTTAATCTTTTTTTTTTTTTTTTTAA